GGAAGGAAGGAAGGAAGGAAGGAAGGAAGGAAGGAAGGAAGGAAGGAGAGAAGGAAGGAAGGAGAGAAGGAAGGCAGGCTGGCAAACATTGCTTATGCAAGCTGATGACCCAAGTTCCAAGGGTTTGTTCAGTCTCAGACTTCTGGGTGTATCATGTGATCCATCTGCCCAGCCTCCACCTGCAAAGCCTGTCTATCTTGCTTCTACAAAACCCCAGATCCACAAGCCTCCTGTTGGTCCCTCACAGGGGAATCTTCAGTGTAAGATTCTTGGTCAGCACATCTGTCTCCAGGTCAGTTCTTCTCTTCTTTGAGACATGGTGGAAATCAGAGGGCATCTCCCAAGGTAAACACCCAGACTCCTGACAACATGAAGCCTTAGCAAACAGAAGTAGCCACATAAGTAGTGAGTGGGAGAAATGAAACCACAGCCCAAGTTACAAGGTCTTCTGGCCCTCTCTCTCTATCTCCACTTAAAACAAGATAAAACAACAAACAACAAAATCCCTCTACATAGAACCCTCCAGTTTCTGAACAAAGCTGTAGTCCAAGTTCATCTCCTTCCAACATCACACAAAGGAAGCTTCTCTACCAAGGGTGCCCTAGGCTGTGCTGACACTAAGACATCTGGTATTCTCAAACAATGGTTACACGGTGCCCTCAGTCACGCAGGACAAGGATTCTGGTTGCCCCCTGCCTCCTTCTATGGACTACAGAACACATTCTAAGCCAGGCTGCAACCTGGGTAGGACAGACTTCTTGGTCATAGCTTCTGTGCCCTTTTCTGCCCTAATTCTTATCTGCTGGTTTTGTACTGTGCTGACCTGAAAATTGGCCTTACTCTGGAGGTCCCCACTCCCCCCACAGAGCCAGGCATACTCTAGTTCTGAGATAGAATTGGAGGCAAGCTTCTATAAAATCCCCAGGGGACAGAGAATTAGACAGGACAGTCAGCAAGTTCAATAGAGCCAAGGACAGACAGACACTCTAGATGGATTCAAATCTGGAGCAGTAAGATCTTATCCCCATGTCACTACAAGGGACATGCACAGGCATGTGGCCACTATGTGTGCCTCAGTAGATCAGGCAGCTTGAGAAAACAAAATAGAAAAAAGCTGTTCCGTCTGAGTCGACCAGCCCAAGTCAGTTTGACATGCAAGATTACAATGCTAAGATTTGAAAAATTGAGTCTCAGCCAGCTTCCCTTTGGCCTGGTACACACAGACAAAATCGAGATGGTTGATAATCATTCCACAGCAAAGCAGTTTCCTCTGCCCTGTTCTGCCCCCTAGAAGCCTGCTAGGCTCTCCTAGCTTGATCTGGTCTGAGAGGAGAATCTATCCTGTGATGACTGGGGAGCAAGTGTCATTTTGGCAGCTCCCCAGTCTCAGCAGGTGAGACAGGCCCAGGCAGGGAAACAAATGCTGACATCAACATGTCCTGCATTGGCAAGAGCGCAGCTGGGAGATGGTACATCTAAATGCCCAGCCACACCCTGACACGAGGCTGGCTCAGGAAGCCAGAAGAAACAACCAGCCTTTCTAGAAAGTGACATGTCCATTTCACTTCCCTGGACAGCTGTTTCTGTGCCCCCCAAAATAAAGGGAGGCCCAACTGCCAGTGAAGTTAGTCAAGTCTTCTCTAGGCTTGCCCACTGCTCAGTAGCTAGGTACCAGGCTTGGACAATGCTAAGTTGCTGCTTGGACTAGCCAAACACTTGGGACATACCCAACGGGATTCCTGGGATGTTCAAACTACCTCACCAACAGGATACAGAACCAGGTGCCTGCCCCCTTGCTTGTTGTGAATGTTGGTGGTTTTCCTGAAACTCGTCCTCCTGTTCTGTTCTGCATGTGTGGGCTTCAGACGACAGCACCAAGAAGCCTTTCCAGAATGGGGGAAGGATTGAGGGCTGTTCATCTTTGGGCCCTGGAGAATTTCCTGGAGGAAAATGTTCCAGCAAGTTCCAGGAACTGGGAAGCCCAGGGCTGAGGAGAAACAATGTGTCACCAGCCTCCAAAGGAACCTGGCTGAGATGAATTTGTGGCAAGTACTGTGGAATAGTTGAATAGTGGTCAAAATAAATTGCTAATCACTCCTCACTGGACTCTCCGAAAGAGGCCTGGGCTCATGTAACCATGGCAACAGCAGACGCCAGCAACCTACTCATTAGTGCCACCCAATGATAAGGCCTCCCCCTGGGTAAGACCCAGGGGCCATCAAGTAGCAAAGTAGCAAATGTAGCAATAAGGGGCCTGGGACCCTGAGGTGGCAGGATCCAAATAACAGGACTTCAGCCTTCCCCAAGCCTCAGACAGGGGGCAGAACCAGCTGCTATCAGCTGTCTGGGGTTGAGGAGCCCTGCCCACACCAAGGGTCCCTGTCCTATAGCCTCTGACCATTCACCGCATGATCACAGACACGTCGGAATGGCCTCCTCTTAGTGCATGTGGTTCTCGTTAGTTTATTTTTCTGGAATTTGGGGAACTGGACCCCAGGACCAAACATGCTGGAAACAGTCTAAAAATAAACAACTACTTGAACCCACTAAAGTCCACTTAAGTATGTGTGTCTCTTTGGTGTGGGTTTTTTTTTTTTTGGGGGGCAGGATGCACCTCCTGTTTCGTCTGCCTCATCTCTATTCATCCGGCATCACCACACACGTACACATGTGTCAGTTTCCTTCTCCCAAGGACACCAAAGCAAGAGAGGAAAAGCAGATCATTCCAGGAGCTTGAGATGGCTGTGTCTCCAAAAGGCTACAACCATTAACTTTGTCTGGGTGGTCACTCTGCCCTGCAGTGTCTATACACAGGACTGACACCCAGGGACCACTCTGATAACCTCTTAAATAAAAGACTAAAGTCTGCTGCATACTGACTGCTCCTTACAGGGAGTCTTGGTTTCCTGAGCGACAGACAATCTCATTTCTCCACCATTGCCAAAGCAGCAGGACACCGGGAGCCTGAAAAATCAGGCTGTGGAGAGGGGGACGAGAAGAAAGTAACAAGGACTCTCTGGTAATGATGAGGCTGGCACCTTGCAGCACGCTTCGGTGGCAGAAATTTTGCTCCTGGAAGTAGGAGTGATTTCAGAGGTGTGGACTGGGTCATCAGTCACATCTTGTCTGTCAATGTCAGGGCCATTTCATCTACAGCTGTCCTGATGAGGAAGGCCAGGTTCACGGTGACGTGTGTCCCATTCTAGTCCATACTCTGCCCTGCCATCAGGTCCTGGCCCACCCATAACAGCTATGCTTCCCACCTTCCTCAGCAACAGTCAACCCCACAGGGAACATCTTGCCAGCCTACCATCTGACTGACTTCTACAATTTTTGTCTAGCAAACTGCTACCCTGTGTGCACACAGCTCTACCCAGCTCCAAGGACAGAGATTTGTTTAGATGCAGGTTTTGAGTGGGAGTTGGCAGAGGACCAGTTAAAACCCAACGTGTTGTTCCCACCCAAGGATGTCTTCGAGCCACCCCGACTACTTCTTATCTTCATGTATCTTCCTCACAACCTTTGACCTAATAGGCAAGAGGCTATTCTTCCCCTGGTACAAGCTTTCCATTGTTCACTGGTCCGAGCCTCCAGGGTACCCTTGGGCCCTCTAATCCTAAAACACGTCTCTTGGTGTATGACAGCCTACAAACCCAGGTGTTCTTCAGACTTGTCCCTTCCTGGGATCACAAAGCTCTGCCCAGCATGGTCCCTCCCTCCCCAGAAACTCTGGGCTCCTTAGGTGGCGCTGTAAATTCTTGCAGCTGCTGGGCTCATCTTTCTTCATCCTAAGTGTTTGTACCCAGAGGTTACAGGACATCCTTGACTCTGCACCAGGAGAGGTAGGCTACACAGCCATGCAGATGTCAGAGTCTGGTTAACATAAAGGGGGTGGATGGGGAGGAGCTTAGCTGTGCAGAGTTCTCTGTTTGGCACGCTCCTCCTGTTTTAGCCTCCTCAGAACCCTGAGCTGGACTGCCCAGGCCTGACTTGCTTCAGCCAACAAACCAGGAATTGCTCCTGATTGCAAAGACTGAATATTTCCTTCCCAGGAGAAGAGCATGGCTAAAAACTAATATGAACAACTGAGCCTGAACCTGGCACACAGCAGATGCTCCTGACGTAGTCTCTGGTGTTGAGTACCCCTGAGATGGATTTGTGCCCTGTTCCCCTGTGCCCCTGTGGCCTGGGGTGCCATTCCTTCCCCCCAGCTCAGAGGCTATGGGTCTTGTTGACTTGGACAGACAGCTGCCTCTCTGTGACTGCCACAAACCACTTGCTGTCTTCTTCAAGTGAAAGCCTGGTTCCCTCTCTGTGTCACTGGGATGACCTCGGTGGATCCAGCCGTGTGCCTCCGTAGCAACAGAGTGGCTGGCCATTGAG